GAGCAATTACCTGCGGTGGCTCAATAGAAGGAGGCGCGCGGGGAGGTACCGCGACAAAAGGCGTGGCCGCTGCAGGTGAAGCCTGCGTGTAAACACTCTTGAGAAGAGGCAGCAGCCCCGGATAACTGACACCAACGTACGTAATAAGCAGAGATTTGGCGAGGCGACCCGATACAATGACACAACAGAAGAAAACCCATATCTGGAACGGTGAGGGCATGGAAAAAGGCCGGAAGGAGAAGAGGCTACCAGGCTCTGAGAAGTGTACTATCATCTGAAGACTGTGAATAGTGCGAATGCGGGCAATATGGTTAAATAAACCATCCTGATCCCTAACTGTCCACAGCTCCTGAAGCTGGTTGTCCGCAACGAGCTCGCTGAAGTTTGTGAGGATTAAATTGTGGAAAATGGTGAGGTTAGGTGATAGAGATAGAGCATCCATCGCGGGAGAAGAAGTAACGGATCGGACTTGATGAGCGGGCAGCGGAGAACAGTAGACCAGTCAGAGGTGAGAACTGTTGAAGGGTTGAGTTTGCCGAGAGTACGAACGGGATTACATCGGCGCAATCGACTGCGGTGCTTACCAACCACTACACCAGTAGAAGGGTTTACGAAAGCAAGCCACGCAGAGCCACTGCGTAACTGGATCTGAACACGGGGGTACGCGAAACATGTGTCGTTAAAAGGCAAAAGAGTGACTGTAGCCAAAGGAAGTTGAATGCAACGACGGAGCTGAACGAAGCCGTTACCCAGGTGGCTCGCTGTGATGTCTTGGCGACCTAATAGGCTACGCATGGTAAGCGTGGGATTAGTTCGCAGGGCTGCGTGGAGCGCAATGGCGAGGACGTTGGTGCGCTCACAAAGGGCCTGAACAGCGTGATGGAATAAAGCTGCTACGGCGTCATGCATAGAGCCTTCCACAGCTAACAGCTGGGCAGACAACTGATTAGTTGTGACCGACCAGCATCTGCGGAACGAGGTACTCGGCGCACGAAGCTAATGGCGTAACCCTGATCGGTTATGGTCAGCTGTCGTCGACAGTCAGGTATGACAGGGCTCTGGCTGGACCAGGACAAGGCAAACTCCTTGGATTCACTTATCCAAACAGTATCCATCAGATAACCTTTCATCTTAAAAAGCGAGAACGAAGCGACAGCTCTCTTCTTGCTCGGGTGTCCAGATGATCACCGAGCCGTCGGCCAAGACACATGAACCATCCTTGTAGGGACAATGAGCGCAAGTCTTCAGCGGCTGACTCCGGGGTTTCCTCTCCGTGGCGTGCGTGGACTACTGTTTCTACCAGGTAGCAATTAGGAATGGCTAACTTGTGCTCAGTGCAGCAACCGAACGGTGCGGATGGGAATTCGAACATTAGTTCGTTAGTGGAACGCCAACTGGTGCCGTGCTGAGAAAGTTCGCCGTGAGCACACTTCTTATGCCGAGACATAAAGTTTACATTCTTCTGCTGAAACGGGCAGAAGAGTCTCTGTGTGATCCTCACTACGCGTGCCAAAGAAACTAACGGAGTAAGTGACTGAGTGACGGACAATCTTACATAGGAAAGCGCGGGTAGAGTAACGCCTAGTGTTAGGTCGGAAAATGTGCAGCGAAAGGGATTGGAGCTGTGTCGTGGTATTAGGAGAAAGCCATGAACAATTGTATGAAGAAGGCACAAAAAATAAATTAGTGGGACTTTCCGTCGGACAGAGCCAAGCGTCCACGGAAGCGGACGAACCCGCTATGCAAGATAATGCCAAGCAGCAAATAAAAAGAGAGCGAACATCGGGCGAAGAAGAAGGAGAAGTTGAAGAAAAAGCATGAGTCTTATGATCAAAAGCTGTTTGCGCGAGCTCATCGTTACGTTTCATAAGGGCGGCAATTCTAGACTTAGATTGTTCGAGCTCGGCCTTGGTTTGGTCTACGGAAAGAGAAAGATCTACGATACGCTGCTGAGCCGCCATAAGAGAAGAATCAGTAACTAGAAAAAGGAGCATCACAAGCCATGAGTTGTGCATTATTAGTACGAGGAGGAAAGGGACGGTTAGATGGAATAACTCGTGAAAGGAACCGACCTGTCTCTCCTGTTGTTCGGGAGGCGATGAACAATTAGTTGCCCAATGCCCAAGTCCACCACAGTTGTAACACCGGCTGGGGCGGGGATCGGGCGACGGGCCGGAGCAGGTCGAGGAGCATTAGCAGCCTGAAAAGGTCGACGTTGATCGCTGTCAAGACGACGATAATTTCTCTGAAAGTTACCGTTCTTATTTGACCTGTTGTATACCTGATTACGACCTGCGTTACCTTGCTCTACCACGTTGACGGATGCCTCCGGACGACCAGGATGGATAAGCCGGTCAGCTGTTGCCTCGCTGAGGAGTTGTTCCACTGTTTGCGCTTTGGTGACAGCCTGTTCAAATGTAGAAGGGTTGTCAAGTTTAACGAAATACCTGATATCCCCTCGGAGACGGGCGACGAATTCCTCCAGCACCCTGTCCTTCTGAGTCAGGGGGTCCTGACCAGCGGTCGCAGCTCTAACCAAATTAAGCACCCTATTGGCGAAGGACGAGGACGACTCACCGGGTTCCTGACGACAGGAGGACAACTTCTGTCGAGCTACATACCTCTGCTGAGGACTCTCGAAGAAAGCTCGAAGATGACCAGTGACGAGGTCGAAGTTCTTCCGGGCTTCGTCGTCTAGTTCCTCCACCTTCTCCCGAGCAACCCCGTCGAGATAGCCAATCAGAAAATTGGCTTTCTGCTCACTGGACAGAGAGACCGGGCGCATCCTAATGACGTCTTCCAGTCTACGAAGCCATATGGAGAACTGAGGGCCTTCTTCCGTGGTACCTGAAAAAGGTATCACCCTGGGGGCTTGCGAATCAGACCCAAGCATGGCAACTGTCGGAAGAGAATCAAGACGGCTACCGACCGCTGAAAAGGACTCATTCAACTTACGAGACAATGAAGTGTTACCTTCATTAATTTTCTGAGCCAGGGCTGACGTCTGAGACCGGGCGTCTCTCCACACCTGAGTAATAGCTATCGAAGCAGCATCTCGTAGGGCCTTAGGCATCCCGTGCGTGAACAATCTCAGCATCCTCCATCCTGGAAAGGGAGTCATCCAAGGGCGCAGTGAGAGCGCCAGGTAAAGGCGGTAAAGGCTCAGTGGAAGGAGCAGCAGCTCCGATTACCGCATAATCCTCCGTGACCACACGCTCTGGGCTAGGAGCAGCAGCTCCAGTCGATGGAGGAGAAGGAACTCCGGATGTCGCACCACTTCGGGTAGTCGGCATAGCGAAGACGTGAACGAAGACGATACTGACGAACAGTCCAGGACTACAGGCCT